AGGAGAAGCATGGCAAAGTTGAGATGACTTGGACGGGAAACGAATCACAATAGTGTGCATTGCATTGGCATTGCACACTGATGAAATGAAATGCAGCAGAGAGAAGAAATAAAATCTTATCTGCCCCCTTTTTCCCAAGAAAAAGTTCACATAACAAAAAAGTCTGTTATTAAGACAAGAACATCTATTCCCTCTAGAACAACAATTTATATAGATACACATTATATTGTTTCGTGTTTCTTTAACAATCCAACTTTATCATTTTCTTAAACGTACACAGTGATCTTGCAGTTTTTACATCACTCCCCAAATTATTCCATAGTTTTATTCCTTGAATTAAAGTACACCGTTCCTTCAAACTAGTTCTGAATTTGGGTTTTACAAACATCTGTGTCCCTTTAAGGTTATAACAACTCTTTCTCTTAACAAAATTTACCTGGATGTTTAAAGATAATGTGTTTTGTGGGCCTTATACATAACCAGTAGAATATTATAATCAACCAAATCAAAGAACTTCAATATTTTCAATTTACAAAACAATGAATTTGATGGGTGACGACAATGTTTTCCAGTAATAATTCTCAAAGCTCTTTTCTCTTATTATTGCATTATACAACAGTGCTTTATCATTGAATAGCTCCCTTACTTTATACAGAACAGCAATATTTAGCCATCTTTTTTCTTAAATAATTTATGTGAGGTCTCCATGTCAGCCCTTCATCTATCACTACACCCAAAAACTTCACCTCACTGACTTTACGAATCTCAACCCCATCGACTCTTAAATGGAACATCAATCGTTTTCTTTCTATTATTAAATACCATATAATTAGTTTTCTCAAAATTTAATGACAACTTATTAAGTCTAAACCAAGTCTGTATTTTAACAAATTCTGTTTGCATCCTTTCCAACATCTGTTTTATATCTTTACCTAAAAAAACAAACAAAAAAAAGTAGTTTTACCTGTTTGTGTGTGTGTGACCTCAGTTCACCAGGTAGCTGAGAAGGTGGAAGCAGTGGCGGCTCTCTCCATAAAGACCAGACGTGTTTTGAAGGGTCATGGGAACAAGGTGCTGTGCATGGACTGGTGCAAAGACAAACGTCGTCTAGTCAGCTCTTCTCAGGTCCGGATGAACACACGGGGAGACATTTCTCTGGTGTTAGCTCTGGGAGGGTTCTGTGGTGTGTAGCCTGGTAATGCCATGATGTTTCTCTAATCTAGGATGGCAAAGTCATCGTCTGGGATGGTTTCACTCTTAATAAGGTAAGTAAATCTCTTTGTGTTATTTATTATTCTAAATGAGGGGCTGGGGACATTTGATATTTTTCTGGAGGGGAAGAAGAACTTCAGTTTAAACGTATTTCCTGAGTGATTGCTCATTCCTCACCTTTCTGTCCTGTTGAATGAGCCAAAGCTTTTCCTCCTATTCAAGGTTCAGATCGTGACGTTGGGTGGTCAGAGGTCACCGTTTGATATAAATATGTGTTTAAAGATTATCTATCCATCTGTCCTATTGAACAGCTGTGTTCTTCTTTATGTATCGTTTTGAGAAGCATGGTGGTCCTAACGGAGCAAACTCATTACCTGATGTTTCCAGCAGCAGTGCTGTGTGTGTATTTAGAGCAGTGGTTCCCAAACTTTTTATCTTCTGACCCACAAAATATCCATGGCAAAAACTTGTGACCCCAAATATTACTGGTCTGAGTACACAAACTTGGTGAAAAACCCTAAAAACACAGGTTTTTGACAATCTAAACAGCTTGTACACAAATATAAATACTTATTTATACTTATTTTGTGTTTTTGTAATAATTATAGGGAAAATATTACATCAGCAATTATTTTATTATCCTTTAAATTGATTTCTGGAGATTATCCAAGGTGCTTCATGACCCATAATTGGGTCCCAAGCTCAACTTTGGGAACCAAAGTGCAGTGGTTCCCAAAGTTTTCAGCTTTTGACCCACAAAATAACAGTAGCAGAGACTTCTGCCACCAACTATTTTTGGATGATAAACATTTGAATCAGGTCAACAAAACATGGGCATAGTATCGATATTTTTGTACTACATTTATCCATTTTAAATATACTAACCTCACACCTTTGTAACAACTAAGGCAAAAATGTAATTAATTAAGAAAATCTTTTCAGGACCCCACCTTGATGTTTCGGGACCTCACTTTGGGTCCCGACCCCAACTTTGGGAAACACTGATTTAGAGAATAGAATGTTTTGTTGCAGCTGTGTCACTTTGTGCATTCATGTGTGTGTTATCCATGTCCTGCAGGAACACGGGGTCACCCTGCCGTGTACATGGGTGATGGCGTGTGCGTATGCTCCCTCAGGTTGTGCTGTGGCATGTGGGTGAGTACAGAGATTTATCCTTTTAGACATAAATATATTGTGTTAGTTTGCAGTCCTTCCACATTCTATATACACAAAGGAATAAGGCTTTTTCTGTTGGTCCGGGGAAAACTCGAAAACCATAACAGGTAGACCCCCAAAACCATATATATTCTGATTCCCTATCACGTGGGCCACAATCTGGTGTTGCTTTCAACAAAATGTGTTTAAAAATAATACCAATATTATCCAAAATAGAAGTATGCCTACATTGGGGTACTGCATAAATCAAAACCCTTACCAATACACTGCCTACATGCACATGCATTGGCCTGGATAGCTCAGTCAGGAGAGCTCTGGCTTGCAAACTGGGTGGCCAGGGTTAGATTCCTGCTAGACAAATGTGTTTTTATTTCTCTGGCCCAAACTTCCCCATTGAAAATACATTGAAATGCACGTTGGTAATAATGGAATTTTTTAAATGTCCACAAAATCATTATTATTTGATCAATTTCCATGTTCCATTTAATCATTTTATTTTACTCTATCAAATTCCATGATCAAAAGTCACCTAACATGTTTTATTTCAATAAAATGTCACACCAAGGTCATTTCAAGGTCATTGAAAAAAATGGTTTTTGTTCACCTATGGGTTCTTATCTTATTTATACATGTTAAGTGCATGCTACATTTGTTGTTACCATCTTATGTTTGAAGCTTTGTCATAAATTAGATCTGCAGTACAAAGTTAGAAGTTAAATGTGTTTCTCTTTTTAACCTGGGCATAGGCCACTGTCAGATTCACCTGGTTTTGGAACGCCACATCTTAAAGTTTTCCAAGACAGACTTCAGCCATTCCAGCACATTATCATGGTTAGAAGACATCAGTATTACAAAAACAAACATTGGGCAATCATGGGACTACCCAGGCAGCGCCGGGTACCCCAGCTAGTACCACTAATAATTTACAATTTATCATTAACTTTTATGGGGAAAACAAAACTAATTTGGACAAGTATTCTGTAAGCATTACTACAGAAAGAGCACTCTAATTTTTGCTATGTATGCATTCTTTAATCTCATAAAGGCAACCGTATTTTTATTTTTTCTGCCCTCCAACAGCGGGTTGGATAACAAGTGCTCAGTGGTCCCGCTCTCATTAGACAGAACTGAGAATTTAGCTGCAAAGAAGAAGTCTGTGGCCATGCACACCAACTACGTGTCAGGATGCAGCTTCACCAACTCTGACATGCAGGTGAGCCACAAACAGGGACTCCAGTCTCTGGTCTTTCTCACACTGGGGTAACTTTTTTCGTGGACGCTGGTCTACTCGTATCTCTTCTCTGCAAAGTCTTCCCACGAGACCAGCAACGTGTTTACGGTGGCTGCAGTTGTCTGCGTGCACATATAATTGGGCCTTGTCACAATGTGTACACT